GGGATCTTGGGCACGCACACACATGCGCCCGGCGTGAGTTTTAAGCCACCGGGTCCGGGACGTGAACCACGGTCGACCACGTGGGAGTTCAGCAACATAGCTGTTACGCTAACTGCTGGTCCCAAGTTTATTCCTTCTAATGAGCAGGAAAGACAGAGACAGGCACCCTCAACAGGGTCCTCGTGCCATGATCTCCCTGCTCCAGCCAGCCTCAGATCTTGGGCATGCACATGCCTAGTGTACTTGAAGGTCTCTGGATGTGAACCTGGGACCACTGACAAACTCTGAACCTTCCCAGTGGGTCAGCCTCACAGAATGCTAATGTACCATCCTCATCTGGCACCATACCTAGTACTTTTAAGTGACAAAATATGACTTAATTCTTTCATTAGTTAAAAATGTCTCTCTATTGATGCTATTTTATCTTTTTTTTTTTTAAGAGAGATTTTTGTTATATGGTACCTGTGCTTGCTGAAGAGACAGAAAGTGAGAAATCACCCCCCCCCCAGGGGGATGGCTATGCTGCAATCCCTTCTCCTCCATTCTCCTCTCAGGATCTTGGGCATGCATGCACACACGCCCGGTGTGAGTTTAAGCCACCGGGTCCAGGATTCAAACCATGGTCGACTACATGGGAGTCCAGCAACATAGCCATTATACCAACTGCTGGTCCCTATTGTATTTATTTTTAAAGCTACCATATTTTTGTGAAACAATACTGTTTTTTGAGGGAAGGGGAGAGGTTTTGCTATAGGATGCGTTCGCTCACCAGAGAGACAGAGACAGAAAGTGAGAAATCGCCCTCCCGGGGGGGATGGCTGTGCTGCAATCCCTTATTCTCCGATCTTCTCTCAGGATCTTGGGCATGCACTCGGTGTGAGTTTAAGCTACTGTCAACTACATGGGAGTCCAGTGACATAGCCATTACACCAACTGCTGGTCCCCCAAAACAATACTGGTTTTAATTATAAAGAGGGATGCTTTGGGGGCCAGCAGGTGGTATGGTGTTTAAAGGCGCTGAACTCCCACATGGTTGACTATGGTTTAAGTCCTGGACCTGACAGCTTGTTTTCTCACTTTCCCTCTTTCTCTGTTCCTCTCTGGTCAGATTTAAAAGGATGAATAAATAAATGAAGTTAAATAAAAAATAATTCTTTAAGGAAAAAAAAGAGGGATAACTTTCAAGATAAACTCATGTTCTTCAGATAGGGGATGGTGGATGACTGGAGTGTAGGAATCCTGCAGTGCTCCAGCCCTGAAGGGAAAGCCCTTTAGATTCAGGGGGTTGGGAGGGAGTTTAGAGAACCTCTTGGCTCCCAGCCCTTCCTGTCCAGTGGGGATTTCCTGACATGCCTTTGAACTACTGGACTAGAAGACAGTTCTCAAACTGAGTGCAGAGGAATTTTAGTGTGCCACAAAGTGTTGAGATTACCTTGGGAGAGGTAGGGAAGGGTTTCCTGGTAAAATGAACTTGGGAATCCCTCCTCTAGATCACTGTATGGCGGACTAATCAAGGCTTGAAGTGCCAGGGTCAGGAATCCCGTTTAACTTTGTTTAGGCCTCGTTCCTCTTTGTAGTGGTAGCCTTCAGGCCCTGGCCAAACCAGGCCTTCATGTACCTAGAGTGAACAGGAAAAGCTATAAATGAGGTGGGGGTGGGTAGTGCTGAGGGGTAGCTGTAAGTAGTTTACACTGGCTTAAGTCATTCATTTGCTAAATGCACAACGAATAACCTAATTTGTCCCTGGCAGTGTGTTAGCTACTGGGGATACAGAAGTGAAAAAAGATAAGTCTGGGGCCAGCAGGTTGACTGTTGGTTAGGGTGCTAGACTCCCATAGGGATGACTGCAGTTCAATTCCTGGACCTCGTGGCTGGCTTTTTTACTTTCCTTCTTTGTCTGTCTGTCTGTCTGTCAGTCTGGGGAATTGAAAAGTGATAAAAAATAAAATTAAGTAAGTACTTATTTGGGGGAAAAAAAAAAAGTCTGCCCTTGAGCATACATTCTAGTCGGAGAAGCACAATAACCAAGTGGAAAGTGTCAGGGCCGCAGGTCCAGCTTTAGGCAGCGGCCATCCACAGCCGGGCAGGTGTGGAACAATGGCAGAGATTAGCCGGAGATGAGAGGTGCCCATAAGCTAACTTAATTTGGTGAGGGAGAAACCAAGAAGCCCGAAAGGGGTGGGGTGTGGGGGCTACTGACAGATCCCTTTGGCCCTACATCAAATAGTGTGAAAGGTGTTTGTGTATGTATTTGGCAGAATGCTTTATAAGCTGTAAGGCCCATGAACTGTAATTATCTCATTTGATCTTACAGTAGCCCTGTGGGGCAGGCAGAGTTGGGATCATTATCTTCATTTTATAAAGGAGGCCTCAGAGACTCAGGGCAGGGAAGGGACTTGCCCAGGGTCTTGCATCCAGCTAATGGTGGAGTTGGGTCTCAAGCCCAGTGATTTTGGTCCAGTACCAGGAGCTTCTTGCCATTCTGACTGGCTAGTAGGCCAGGAGAAAGCACGGGGAACTCTGGAGGGTGGGGATGGTGGGGATTGTGGATTCCCTGGAAGCTGAAAGTTGAGGTTTCTGTCTCCCCCTTGTGGCTGGCAGGTGCTATGACAAGCGTCTGTGGCCCCGAATGGACCTGAGCAGGAGGAAGTCACTGACCCCACCCATGCTCAGTGGAGTGGTCCGTCGCCAGCCCCGAGCCCTGGACCTTAGCTGGACAGGTGTCTCCAAGAAGCAGCTCATGTGGCTTCTGAACCGACTGCAAGGTAGGGCAGGGTGGCGAAACATGGCAGAGTAAAAACAGGGACAGGTCTGAAATAGAACCCTCCCAGCACTGGTCTCCTGTCCCCTGCCCCAGGCCTGCAGGAGCTGGTGCTCTCTGGATGCTCCTGGCTCTCCGTCTCTGCCCTGGGCTCAGCCCCACTGCCGGCCCTGCGGCTCCTGGATCTCCGCTGGATTGAGGATGTTAAAGACTCCCAGCTCCGCGAGCTGCTGTTGCCTCCACCAGACACGAAACCAGGTGTGCCCTCTGTTTGCTCCTCTGTAGAATGGGTCGAGCAGGGTCGATCTATGTGGCCTCTAAGGTCTCTTCTGACTCATGCTGGGTGTTAAGGCATTTAACGAAAGGAGAGAACACATGAGTTTGCCCAGGAAGGCCCTGGTTGCCACTGCTCATTCACTCACCTGCTGCATGCTTTGAACTATCTTGAAAGGCACAGGGTTTTCCAGGGAGCGCGAGGCACAATTAGCAGTGCTGGGGCAGGAAGCAGAGGAAGATGCTGGCAGAGGTTTGGTCACCTTGTGGGGGGTCATGGGGGAGGGGGTGGAGGCCCGGGAGCGCTTCATACAGCTGAAAGATACGCTGCTCCCAGCGTGCTTTCTGGCCCCCACCAGACTGCTCTCCACACTGGAACCAGGGGAGCCACCCAGAGGGCCTGTCTGCCCATGTGCTCCAAACTCTCATTGCTCCCAGTGCTTCTGGATAAAGACCAGTATTTCACCACAGGTGCCGAGTCGTGGTGTGGTCTGGCTTCCGCTATCCTATGTTACCCCTGCATTCTGGCATCTCAGCCTCCTTGCCGAGTTCCCTCCTAGGCCTTTTGCCTACTCTTTGCCCCTGATGCTCTGCCTTCCTTCATTTAGTTAACACCTACTCATCCTTTAGGCCTCAGTGTAAATTCCACAATGCCACTTCTTCCTAGAAGCCCTCCCTGATCCTCCCCCTTCCTAGCATGTCACTATACAGTCCTGAAGTGATTTATGAACTGTTTCCTCCCACTGTTAAACTCCTCCAGGGCAAGGACTGTCTGCTCACCCAGCACCGTACTCAGTGGTGTGCTCAGAAGTATCTGTTGAATGAATAAATTGAATGAGGAGTCCGGATGGAACAGGGAGAGATCTAGATTAAGGACAGATTTCCAAAAGGAGATTTGTTGGGCCCTGAAATAAGAGTTTAAAAGAACCTTCCTTTTCAAAGTCCTTTCACAGCTTTCTTTAATGACTCCCTTCTCCCCATCAGCCCTTTAGAGCAGCTCTGGAAGGGGAGGAAAGAAACCAGAATTCTTCCCATTTTTGGATAAGGCACTAGAGGCCCAGAGGGCTTGAGTGACTATTGCAAGTCCCACAGGTAGAGCCAGGCCAGAGCCTTCACTCTTTGCCCAGTCATACTGGTACTGGACTGAGTCAGAAAGACCTGGGCGGGCGGCAGCGGGGAAGAGGCATCTGGATGGTGCATTCCGTGAGGACTGAGAAAGGGCTGGCTGACAGACTGACCCCATCTCATCTGTCTTAGTTCATTTCAGTCCAAGCCTTTTGTCAGGAGCTTGCACAGATGAGCTCGCAGGCCCTCCAGGCTCACTGTGCATGTCAGGACTTTACACCCACCCTCCCATCCTCGGCTCCCTGGCTTTGTGCAGCATTCCTGGAGCAGAACTTCAAAGTCCTCCTTTCTTGTTTTTGCTCTTTGCTTGGTGTATTATTCTTTTCCCTCACTATACATTCAGACCCTTGAAGGCCCAGTTTCATTCCACCACCTCGGTGACCTCCTCATTGATGTCATTCCCCCCTCCCAAGCCAGAAGTAACCGATCTCATTTCCTCTAATGGCCTTAAGCTCTGGCCCAGCGTGGAGGACATCTGTCAGTGTATCTCCTCTCCAGGCTAATATAGATAGGAGGAGAGGGGAGAATTCAGGGCTTGCAAAGCCGGGTGCCCCCAGGGGTGCTCGGACAAGTAACAGAAGAGACGCACTGGGGCAGGACACTGGGGAGCAGCACCTGATGCCCAGCCTTAGCCAGTCATTGTCGGGAGGGAAGGGATGACCCAGTGGGGCCAGATCGCACATCTGTTCAAGGGACACTAAGTGTCTGCGTTTATTTATTTATTTTTAATTTGCTAGAGAGAGGCAGAGGGAGAGGGAGAAAGCACCCCACAGTGAGTCATGGTCATGCCACCACCCCTTCTCCACCCTGGGCATGCATGCATCCATACCTAGTGTGTTTTCAAGCTGCAGGGTCTGAGACGTAAACTGCACCATCAGCCACGGGGGATCTGGTGCCCTTTGCCACTAGGCCACAGCGCCAGCCCTGTTTCTTTATAAAATCGTCCTTTTTATAGTGTTAGTCTTTAATTTAAAGAAAACATTTGGCACTATACAGACTCCATAAAACCCTTTGGGAGCCTAGTTTTAAGAATTTGGGGTTTGACTCCTGGACCCAGTGACTTGAAAATCACACTGGGCATGTGCTCATGCATTCCCTGTGTGTATGTGTGTGTGTGATTGTGATTTCTCACTTTCTCTCTCACTGTCTCTGTCTCTCTCTAGTGAGCGCACAGGTCCTAAGGCAAAAACCTCTTTAAAAAAAAAATTGATGACATCTGAACTAGTTTGTCAGGGCTTGACTGGTGCCTGGGGGCAGATAGTGTTGAAATGAGAGTTTGGAGTCACAATCACTAGGTCTGGGTTTCCTAGCTCTGTTACTTCATGGTCATGTGATTTTGGATCCATTGCTTCAGGGTTTGAGCCTCAGTTTCTCCATCTATAGACAGGAATGATGGTCTAAGAACTTGTCTCCTAAGGCTGGGTATTAGCAGCATCCATTTCCCAGGAGAACTTATTAAAAAATGTACTCTGAGGCCTCACCCTAGGCCTACCTAAATCTGGGGGAGGGGCCAGTGATTCATTTGAACCAACTCTCCAGGAGGCCCTGAAGCTTCTCTTAAGAGTTGATAGCACGAAAGACCATGTGCTTCGGGTACAGAGATGAGGGGCGTGAGTTCTTTGACATCAGCCGTGGGAGAAGAGAAGGCCTGAGGCAGGCAGAGTGTCCAGCATCAGTGGTCACAGGCAGAGCCTTTCGGGTGGGGCCACTTGTGGAATTTGGCCCAGCTGTTTGGGTGTGAGGGAGAAGAGTTTCAGGAGTTGGGACCCAGAAGAATTAGAGGAATTTGGGAACCAGCAGTTATCGTAATGGCTATGTCGCTGGACTCCCATGTAGTTGACCACAGTTCGCATCCTGGACTCGGTGGCTTAAAACTCACGCCGGGCGCGTGTGCGTGCGTGCCCAAGATCCCGAGAGGAGAATGAAGGAGAAGGGATTGCGGCGTGACCATCCCCCCTGGGGGGTGATTTCTCACTTTCTGTCTGTATGTCTCTCTCTGTCTGTCTGGTGAGTGCACGCGCCCTATAGCAAAAACCTCTCCAAAAAAAAAAAAAAAAGAATTAGAGGAATTTGAATGTTCTAAGGAGGCTGGACTTCTTTAGCAGAGGGATATATTGTCCCATCTGTGTTTGAGAACGACTCTCTGGATGCTAGGAAGAAGAGTGAGTGAGTGAGGAGGCCAGGGCAGGAGTTCAGGCAAGAATGGCACTGACTCGGAGTGGTGACCAGGGAACTTCTCCAAGGCAACTTGACTCATCCTGTAGGACAGGGAAGTGAGAGGAGAGGATGGGCCTGTCAGTGAAGGAATGAATGTGTATCGAGACCTGCTGTTTCCCGGTTGCTGGGAGGAGAGCAGTGAGCACCACCAAAATTCCTGCCTTTCTGGACTTGACTTATCAAGGGGGGAAGATTAATATGAAAAGATGTACATACTACATCAGGTGATGGAAAAGGGGAGGAAAATAAAGCAGGGAGGGGTAGAGAGTGTGGAATATTATAGTGTAATAAAATCATGGAAGGCCTCACTGCGGTGGTGATACGAGCCATGGGCAGATGAGAAGAGGTCAGGTCGGGTGTGTTTTTGGAACAGAGCTCTGCAAAGTGCAGAGGTCAAGGCTCTCGCAAGTTGGGAGCAGGTCCCAGGGCGCATGCAGAGGAACATGGGTGTGGATAACAGCTGGTCTGGATGCCTGGGTGTAGCAATGTGAGTGGCTAGGAATGCTAACCTCTCCTCTGCCTGCCCAGGGCAAACGGAGAGCCGAGGGCGGCTGCAGGGGGTGGCAGAACTGCGCCTGGCAGGCTTGGAGCTGACAGATGCCTCCCTGCGGCTCCTGCTGCGCCATGCACCCCAGCTGAGTGCCCTGGACCTGAGCCACTGCGCCCATGTTGGGGACCCCAGTGTCCACCTCCTCACAGCCCCCACATCCCCACTCCGCGAGACCCTGGTGCACCTCAATCTTGCTGGTAAGCATGTCTCCTGTCTTGCTAGCCTGTTGGTCCCCATGACCAGAGCCCCCGTGTTGCCCCAGGTTCACCTTCCTGGTCTCAGCTGCCACTGCCCCATTCCCCAGGTTGCCACCGCCTCACGGACCACTGCCTCCCGCTGTTCCGCCGCTGCCCGCGTCTGCGCCGCCTAGACCTGCGCTCCTGCCGCCAGCTCTCACCTGAAGCTTGTGCCCGGTTGGCAGCCGCCGGGCCCCCTGGCCCCTTCCGCTGCCCAGAGGAGAAGCTGCTTCTCAAGGACAGCTAGTTGGGTGCCCCCCACCCTCCTCCAGGACTCACCAGGAGCCTGGACCTCAAGCCTTCATTTCACCCCCTGCTGGGAGGCCAGGTTACCCACCTCATGACTCGGGATTCCTGAATTTTATGACTCGGAATTCCTGCCCAGGGACTCGAGCCAGCCTCCCCCTTCTCTTCCCCCTGCACTGATATCTCTGGGGGACTCTCCTTCCCATCTCCTCCCCCTTCCACCTGCTTCATTGTCCATCCCCTGGGGGGAGTGGGTCAGAGGTACTGGGGGGTGCTGAGCCAAAGGGACAGTGGGAGGGGGGTTAAGGTGCAAGTTTGAGGGAGGGAGAATGGGGAAAGGGTATCGGCTGACGACCAGATACTTGGAGTGGGGGGTGGGGTGGGGGGGCCAAAAAGGGAAACCAGAGGAGCAGTGGGGACCCAGGTGTCAGAGGTAGGGGGACTGGGGGAGCCAGGGGAAAGCCAGGACTGAGTTGGGGGTAGGGGACAAGAGCAGGTGTGGGGACAGTAGTACCCCTGGGGAGGGTCACCCCTGTCCTTAACCCCTCCCCAGATTTCAGCTCCTTTCTCCCAATCCTGACTCCTTGAACGTCACTGAAAATGGCAGCTATTGCGAGGAGTGGGGGCCACGGGCCTACCGCTGTTCAGCTCGTGGCCCAGGGGAGTGGTAAGGGGTACCCTAGCCCCCTGCCTGCCTCTCCGCACAATACTTGAACATTCATCTGTACTGAAGTGTTACTTGAACCGGGGGAACCTCGGACCTGGGGGAGCCGGAGTGTGAGGGGATGGCACCAGCTTGGACTGAGACTGGACCGGTGGGCACCCAGTGGGGACTGCGCCACCCCAGGCTCTCTTGCTTTACTGTATTGAGCAGCTCCACCCTCCTGACCTGAGTTGGGGGTTGGGGGTGTCAGCCCAATGATGGGGAAGATGGGACTCCTCCAGCTTGGCTCTTCCCACTCTTTCATCGTCATGGAAACTTGTATCCCATTTGCCCAGGGAACTGCCACTCCTGGTTGCCGTGGAAATAGCAGCCAATGGACACCTCCCAATGCTAGTGCTAAGGCTGGAAATGGCCCCTCTTAGTTGCCATGGGAATTTAGTAACAGACTCTCAGCCCTCCTCGCCCCCGCCTTCTCCAGTGCGGGGGCGGGGCTTTCGGTTCAGAGGGCGGAGTCGGGGCCAGGTCCCGCCCCTCGGCCCGGGCCTCCGGGGGGAGCCGGGTTGTACCATGTAGGGGAGGGGGAATCTATCCACATACCTCAGGTAACAGGAAGGTG